ATCAAAGCAACTATCGAATGAGTACTTTTGATAAGATATATCGATCAAATGTTGTCAAAAAACAAAGAAAAAAAAAATTCATGCGGTTCTTTCGATATGTGCTACATATTCTCAGCTTATGTGTGAATGGATTGATACTACATATGCCCTAGTATCTCCCACACAAGAACTTTGCATCTCACTAGAGAGGTATAATTTGTTCAAAAATCGCTCATCTCATAGATTTTAAAGATAAATCATACAACATATGTAGCGACATATGAGACTAGAATAAAATTATGGATTGTTTTGAGTTTTTTTTAATATGTTCATGCTTTTGAAGAGGAGGAAATCAATCAATTTAGTCTGATATACCTTTTAAATATTATACAGAACCGTCTGTTTGAAAGTTTATTTTTTGTATAAAATCAATAGGTAATCAGAAAAAAAAGAGAAAACCAAAGTACCAAACAGAGAAAATTCATCTCTTCCAAATCTTGAAAATTAAGCAGCTGTAAAATACATGTTCGAGTCAAGAAATATTACTTTATAATGAGAAACTTAAACAAGCAACAAATGGGTGCAGTAAGACATGAAAAATTGTTCGAACATCTTTTTGCGCCTAAAAGTATCACTTTTAGTGATTGAACTGTTATCCGATCGTTTTACATCGAAAGCATAGATTGTCACCAATGCAGTTAATAATGAGAAAAGCTTATATATCCACTCCTATGTTATGGGTATTTATTGTCGTAATATCATGTTTTCAAGATATCACTCATGGTTCGTTACAACTCAGTATGTCAGTAACGTATCCAAGAAAGTGACTTGGTTTTTGTATCTTTATGATGTTATATGTGACTGTTCAACGTGAAATGGATTGTATTCATTAGTTCTTATTAGTAGTTATCAACGAAAATATATCAATGAAGCGAGTATTTCAACAATTTTCGATACTTACAACTAAGGTTGCGTCTGTTGTCAGTTAAACCTAAACATTTAAAGAGATATGATTTGAAAGCTAAATACTCATAATAACAATGGATACTCATTTTAGGAAAAAATTTAAACATATTGTGGTGTTGATGCTTGAAAACTTTATCTGTTCAGAGTAAAAATGAAAACAGTCTAATCCAAAAAAATAGAAAACTTGAACGATTAGCTCTGAATTGTAACTTCAAACGTATTGTACACTAACATCAGTTTCTTCGAAGTAGTAAAAACTTGAAGATTTTATGCGAGAATAAGAAAAGTACGATCAGAATAGTGAAATGAACCTGAATTATGCGTCATACATTTGCATGCTTCACATCTATTAGTTGATATGACTGCAACTTTCAGATCAAGTTTAGAAATGTTCCCACAAAAATATGTTTGTCGATAAGTCATACACTGATCTGTGTAAATTGACGATTTATGCTGAAGGACAAATAGGATAAAAACATTTATTCAATTGAATATCCAATTGAAAAATTTCAAATTATTGTATTTTCGAATCAAGCTTTCGAATGTTGTCATCAGAAATTCAATGAACATTATACCTACTCATAACTCACATTTAGTAAAATGATAAAATATCTTCTAGAATGAGTTTGGATGTGTCACACATACATCCTATTTCACGTGATTTGAATGCTTCTGAACAAAGACTGATTTTTGAAAGAATACCAAGCTCAAGTCAGAAGTGCTTGTCAAAAAATGTTTGAGTGAAAGCTCACCAATTTCTTTGAAGATTGATGTGGTTGTGTATATGAATGTGAGATTTGTTGAGAGTGAATGAGTAGTGATCTGTTCTTCGGTTACAGCTACACTCAGATTCATAAAAAACTAGATTTTTTCCTATCACTTTCTTGTGCATTTCTCGTTTATTAGCAACATAAGAATAAATTTTTGAACAAGTAATTATATCTTCTGATAAAGCTTCACATTTTTTATCACTCTGACTTTGCGAAGTAAATAACAAACAACGGACAGTTACAAAATTCATTTTTTCTTAATTACCAAGAAGAGTATTTAAATAATACTTGGATTATTTTTCAATGCATAAATATAAACCTAAACGCAAGCGGATCAAATAATAGAGAATTTACAGTTTTCGTGCTTGTCAAATAAGGGTACGTTAACTGTGTTCAAATTATCTTTTGTAACAAATGAATGCAACACAACAGAGAAATATACAGAAAGATAGAAAACTTTCGCGCACTATCCAAGTCAATAAGAAATTCTTCGGAAAGACTGAAATTTTTTTCTAAGATAGACTCGCTTTAGAACAAAAAGGAGTGTTTGTGGATTTGAAAAGAGAAGAAAGGCAAAAAACATTATGAAACATTCGTTCTTGATAGTGTAGAAGGCATTTGTCAGGATTTAAATTACAAACCGAGAAATGAGTAATTTCTAAAATATCACTGATTCTTTTTCACTAATACTGAAGTTTACTCAAAAGGCAAAAACAATCTTATTCAATTACGTAGAAAAAGAAGTTAAACAAAGAAAATTGCAAAATAATAGAAAAAATAACTTTGCCTATGAATGAGAATATGTTTTTATGTAAACAAATAATTAAGTATAAAAAGAACTAACAAGAAAAGTGCTTTCTCAAAAATTTCCTTCACATTTCATAATTTCTCTTCATCCATCAAAATCGAAACTATTATTAACATATGAAGATGATAAAGGTCTTCTATAAAAGTATATCAAAGCGCATGTTTAATTTTTCAACTGTGCAGTAATGTATCATACTACTTTCAGTTGTTCATTTAATTCATTTTCGTAAAGACAAGATCATAGTGGGTTCTTGCACGGTATAGAAAAATAGAACAGGAAGATAAAGTATACAAAGAAAATATAGAGAATATGTTATAGTTCTAAAAAACAGGCAAGAACTTTTACATGTAACAAATAATTGGTGCGACAGCACCATCGCAAAATTTATTATCCTATCGTTTTCGATGTAAAAACCGTTCCTTTGTTATTCTTTAATAATAAGACGATGCATTGGTGTTTAGTTTCCAAAAGTCGTTTATATATTGAAAAAGAGATTACTTGAAACGTTGTATTAACTTTTTTACATTTGTGTATACATTCGTATGGAAACCATTCATACTTATTATAGTATAAAACTTGGAGATATATGTCTCAATGGTACTAATAATTGATATGCAGCGATATTCATTCATGCATACACTAACGGATCTAGTAGTTTGGCGAATCGGCTACTATCACTCGTCCCTTCTCCCATCGCATTGCAAATAGAAGTTAAAATGACCATATATAAAAATATACGTCTCCGTTGAATTCTCCTATTGAAGAAAATTGTTCGATTGATGTTCGATAGTTATTAAAAAAAAGCAAATAATTTTTAGAACAATGAACTTTATTTGTTAGATAAATAAACTGTTCGTCGAAAAAATCCATGAGTGATGTATAACGGGTAATAATAATCGGCCTAATTTTTGGCCTAAGACCTACGTGA